CCGGGTCCCCCAACCTTCCCACTCTTTCCGTCGCGTTGGTCTAAGTCCTCGAGGCGGAGAGAAAGGAACCAGAGTGATGGACGGCTACCTGTGGCGTTGCCAGGTGGCCTCGGTCACGTGGGTTCGTGACGTAAGGGGTAAAAGAATCTTGAGGTCATGGGGCTTCCCCTGACCTGGATTCTATCTCTCCGTCACCGGCAGAATCGCTGATTAATGCCTACAGTTCAAAATAGTCATTTTGACTGACCGGAGTCTATGGTGGGTATGAACTATGTGAATAGGCGGGTTCGAAGAACCCTCGCCTAAATCTACGATTTTATATCGATAGAAAGCACTGCTGGTTGACTACAAATACCATGGCATTTGTTGCAAGTAACGTTATTTTTTCATACACACATTCACATTAGTATCGGGAATTTCGGAGACTGTAGTGGTATTTATTTTCATTGTTGTTATTCATTGTACTGTTTGTTAATTGTTTACTGTACGTGATATTTTGATATTAAAACTATTATTTTCCCCTAAAGAGACGTTACATTTTGTATCCACAATACTACAGAGGCGGCACACGACATTTTGCATGAAGGGGCGAGATCTGCTCACCATACGCCGAAGGCGCGACCTTACTAGGGGGTCAGGGTTCAGCCTCCCATGAACAATCTTGAAATCTAGACCTCTGAAACGCACTTTGAGAGGCAAATTTTGCTGACACAAAAGGTTTCAGCTTGATTTTTGAGGGGACGCCCCCTCCCTAACAATTGATCGACCCTCCTGGTGCCGCCTCCACTGTACTATGACTGTTATCCACATCGGGATAAATTTTAATTCGGTTATTTATTGAGAGGTCCAATGTAACCCTGTTTTCGAAGGATAACACAATTTCATTTCACGATTCACGAAAGTGATGATTCACCTGAACGCTTTTTGAAACGTTGGTTCAAAAATATACTAGTATACCAAAACTATTTTGTCAATAGCCCCATATTATTAAAAGAATGTGAAACTTGAATATGGGTGTACTTGCTGTACTAAAAATGACTTGTGATACGAGTTTTGATAATTATACGTTTGCAGTTTTCTTTTGTAGTTGTTGTCTTACTGGTGAGACACCTGACTTGTGACAAATGGACTTGTTCCATAATATCGAAGAGTGTGACTTGAACCTAGGAGACCATATATATGTATGGAAGACAATGTATTTATACACGCATCACGGTATGTTTTTTTCAAATAACCTAATCGACACATTGTATTTGTTGAAAGATAGATAGTTAGTTAGTTAGTTACAAAAGTAACTTTGTTGTCTACATTTTTTGATTCAATGGCACCTCTATCCAAATACAATACTTGTATTAAATACCAGAAACAACAATGTCATACTGAGTATTCAAAATAATCTTGCATAATAAGTACAAAATAAACAGTTATTACATCGTATAAACTGACTTCGCAATTTATGATTTTAATCAAAAATATTCTTTAAAAACAGTAACACTGTATATCAACAACTGTTAACCAATGTCAAGTACTATACCGTTGAGAACCACTCACCACCCATGTATATTACATATCCTGTATATTATACAACAATGACACATTACGGTCAGTGTCGTACTAGATATATATTGAAATTATGTTCATGAAAATAGTATTGTATATAATTTGCATATTTCAGGGATTGTAGCGGAGAAAAAAAGGGGTGTTTGGCAAATCATACATTTTACTGGAGATGAAAGCAAATCAAAGAGTACAGCCAGGATTAGAATAACGTCTCTTGAGGAATTTAAAGAAGACAGTGATGGGGATATACGATTATATAGGTTTGTGAAAAAATAGAATGCCTAGCAATAGGCTTGGAAAATATATTTGACAGGAAATTAGCGCTCAATTTTAATATTATTACGAAGGTTTTCTGCAATTGGAAATCAATTATTGTAAGCCATAAAATCATATTTGTCCATACAGTGGAAATCAATTAAATTAGTTGTAATGTGAAAGTATCGTACATGTTACATATTATATACATATGTACGTAGTAGTTGCAAATGCATTCTCTTCCACTATAGGGGCCAACCAATTTACCTCATAAACCTCATTGTTCATAATATATTACTTTTATATGTGGTATAATTTATTTCTATTTCTCATTGATGCATATTTCTATTTGAAATTACATCATTTTAAAAAGCAGCATAAAGCCTTTCAGCATGGTGCTGTGAACCTAAACCAAATCCACTTAATTTGAACTATTCCGAAATTACTACACTATACACTATACACTATACCCCTTCTTTCAATGCATGCATTTTTTTGACATGTTCAGATGCTCCACTATGTGTCAGTGTGTGCAATGTGGAAATCGTTGTTTTAACTTGTTAAAATATTAGCGCTTCACAAATATCCTACTACAAATAATGTCGCTATGGTGACAGTTTATAATCGATCATCATATTATGAACAGGAATCCTTAATATTAAAATATACTACTATAAGCGCCCCTATTGTGTCCGCCATGATGAGTAATTTGTTTGGACAATGCATTGGAATAATTATTCCCAAAGGACACATTAGTACTAATCGGTTGCATTGAATATGCCAAGCTATAGTGGTGGTGTGATAGTCAAATGAACGAGCCTTGTCTGGCAAAAAACTATTAGATGTTATGGCCGAGATTTCTTTACTGTTCCTTCACTATTGACTGGAACAATCAATTACTGCTCTAATACATATACCAATCTCTGCATTACTGACACCTGCATCCATTCCTACAGTACTACTTTCACCAATGTCTGCACTACCGACTGGACCAATCCAAGCAATTACTGCACTAATTCATGTACTGGTGCCAGTAGTCCCTCTCTTACTACTGCTATGTTTTTCTTCTTGGCCACTCACATATGTTTGACTATTTGCTTTTGTAAGTGATCCTGACTGCACCATATCATGAACTACTGACTGTACCAACCCTGAACTACTGACTGTACCAACCCTGCACTAATACTGTACCAATTTATGCACTAAAAAACACATTACAATGCATTCTCAGCACTATACATTGCACAGATCCACGCACTACTGACTGCACCAATCAGTACACTACTGAATGCGCCAATATCTGCCTTAATGACGACGCCCCTTTCTGCTACTTGCTGTCTGTTACTTGCTGCATCAATCCTTGCATTACCGACTGGCAATCTCTGCCTAATGACGGCGCCTCTCCCTGTACTACTCACTACTAGTTGCATCAATCCATACACTGCTGAGTAAACCAATTCATTCACTCCACTATTGACTGCACCAATCTCTGCATTAGTGACTGAAGATTTGAAGATTAGTTGAATTTTCATACACCTTAAGTGGCTAATAATGGAAGTATCAAGATTTGCATATAAAACCACAATATTCTCACATTATTTTTTTTTATATAATGGTCTGAATTGGCCCGATTTTTGGAGATTAGAGAAACAAACCTATGTTGGTGATGAAAGGTTTTCTTTTCTTTTCTGTCAAATCTTTGCCAAAACAGACTAATATAATTACATGTGATGGATGTTAGCCATAATGTATTATTCACCTAAACAAAAAATGGACATGATTGTCTGGTCATGTGACATCATCAGTATTCATACATGTTAACAGGAAAATCATTATATATAGGATACCAGTTTGATAAGATTTACATTAATCAGATTAGTTTGTCGAAGGTGTCTCTAGCGCAGCCAATCTAACGGTCATATGAAGAACATCAACTTAATTATCATCTGTCACCGTAACGCCATAAGGTACTAGATCCCATACAAAAGAAGTTCGCTCAATCTGTTCTAAACTCAGACAGTAAGCGGTCGCATCGACCGCCGCTGTGTGTCGGTCAATTCTTCCCCTGTACTGTATCCTCGTAATAACCTCATATTATATTGAATATAAAACACATCAATGACACTAGCAACCCGTAGCAAACAGTTCAAATCTGCAAAAAATCATGCTATTGACCAATTCACCCAATTCTTGGTATATACACTATTACTTTGTTCATGAGTGGTTCAACGCGGTAAAATAGACTACAGGTTGCAAGGCCGGCATTGGTGCTTGTATGTATATTTTATTTTTGTGATCTGCCAGAAATTTACAGTTCAATATCCTGAATACGAAATAACGATTCACTCTGAGCAGAACAGTGCTTTTTAAAAATGTATTACTTATTAGGTGCCATCTCATGTTGCCATGTTTACTATTAACATTAAACCTATTTACGAGTTATAATTATTTCCGGTAATTCGTCAATAGGTATGGTCTTCCCACGCGGGTTTGCGCAGTAAAGAGACGTGGAACCTGCTGTCCTGCGTCCAGTGATCCTGTGGATGTTGTTTTGCATCGAGCTAGAGCGTGTTTAGATGTGGGCCTGCCTGTAAATGGGGAGTATCATTTATTGGTGAACAACTGTGAACATTTCTGCTTGTACTGTAAATTGGGGCCATATTACAAAGACCTACAACCATTTAGTCAAGTATAATTGTAGCCACAAAGAGCATGGCTCTAAAATGTTGAACTATGTTCAAACATAATTAATTGCCATGGTTCATCGCGTTATGAGAGTAGTCAGAACACGTTCAATCATCTTCAATCACACCCGGAATTTGGCGCCATGGTTGACCACAGTCAGAGATTTTACATACAGGCTCAGTCAGCTTTCAACATGTCTGGACGTGTTTCAACTTGTGAATTTTCTTGCAACCTAAATTATGGCAAGCATGTTTGAACATAGTTACATGTATTCATTCGCAGGTAGTGGACCAGATTGTAATTTTCAGGCATACATATTATTGTTCTATTTTTTCTTGCTATACCATATGTTTGAAAACGGTTACATGTATTCACAGGCAATTAACCACATTGTCACTGTTATTTTTTAGTCATACATAATGTACTAATAACATTGTATTATAATATGGCTTATGTAATTCATTTTACTTTGTTCTGCTCCAGCCAACACAGAAATATGTATATTTACATTACATTATATTTACCTTGTACTCCAAGCTTCATTGAGCACAATTTCGGTTGTAATTCAAGGTTGTAATTCAATTTTTCATCACAAAAAACTGAACTGAAACCAACATTTGTTGTATAAAACAAACTGTCCTCTATCGTGTTGTGATGATTGATGAGGAATATGTAAGGAGTATGACTTCCAATTCTGATCGAAAACAATATATTCGTTCCATAATATGCAAATTAGGATTGGCCGTTAAAGTACTTCATTGTCAACTATGATTAATTGTGTTTACATGTAGTTCACAAATACTTACTTACTCAGATTTGGCTAACCTCTTACTAAAACTAAATCTTTAACAATTTGATTAACTTCAGTGATGTTTGAGCATGCTTCACACGATTGTTTTCTAGATTATTTTAATATTGTACTACAATGTGTACACCAAAACATCATGTTTCATGACGTTCCGTTATAGTCATTAGTGTAAATCATGATTAACTAGGAAAAAGTATGGTACCATGGTCATATTGGTTGGCAGGACAGCTAGCAGACGCAAATGTTTAGGTGCAATTTGTGTATAAACATGTTAATGCTTATTTTGATACTCAACAATTTTTTACCATTCCCAGGCAAACATTTCGTAAATCGACTTTCTGTGAACCAGGTGGAATGGTGAAATGTTTCGAAAATTTACTTTGAAGTCTGTACAACACATGTAGTTTTAGTAATAATGCTTAAAAGGGCAGAAACACGCACCGAACATGTTCTGATTATAATAATGCACCTAACTTTATTTGAACAATATTTTGTGTCTAATAAATAAAATAAACATGCAATTCATAAATACTAGTTTACTGTACGGACAATAATTTATGTCATACAAGTAAATTATTTGTTCACACAAATAATGTGCAAAAGAAAGTAATGCTTGAATATAGGACATGAATATTTAATATGTATTTGTTCTGATGTGAAATAAAATAACTAATTTAGTATAAGTTTATGTATGTATGCTGTCATTAAATCGTACAAACACTGGTACAATCTAATGTGTGGGTGTTAGCTGGTAGAGTGGGTAACACTTTTCGATGTAAGGTAGTTGGCGATATGTGTTCGTTGACGTGTAGGAAATATCAATTTGGTTAATCACTATAGTAAACAATATTTATTTAATCTAGAGCTTTTATCTATTTACTAATAATTAAATTGTTGGAGTAATGTTTACATGCAATGAGTTTTGCGAAGACGTGGATGGTTTCATAGCTATTTATAAATATTTCTTAAACAGTTATCGCGACAGATCATCGCCCTTCATTGTGATTCAAAGAATATGATTTCATTTACTACATACATCATTTGGTAATGCCATTTACCCGTATGTTTTTGCAGGGTTTCTTCAATTATTGGCCAATTTACTGCCATGAACGCAAAAGATGGATCGAATAAAACTTGTGATTCCTTCGCCGAAATAAATGTAAAAGCATGCATGTACAAGTATTCTCATTATAATTTGGCATCGAAGGTTAAATTGCAAAAGAGAAACAATGTCAGAGGTTAAAATGATTGTATGTAATAATAATGCGTTAGCAAAAGCTTTAAAAATGTGACTGTGACTAATTTCTTGATTTTATTTTTAATCTTCTTGTCATACTAAAGGAGAGGAGACAAAGCTATGCACTGTCTGGGTAGTTTCTATAATCTCGGCCATTGTAGCACTAACTGGCCTATCTATTGGAGACATGCACTGTCTGGATAGTTTCTATTATCTCGGCCATTGTAGCACTAACTGGTCTATCTATTGGAGACATG